GTCTCTTCGTGAATCTTCTAGAAACTCATCATGTGTTACCAGCGTCACGTGACTTCCGCTGTCGTAACAATATCAAAATAATTAGCCAAAATATCAAATTCAAGGATTCTGATTGCTGTAGTTTTATTTATTATTATTTAATGACTTCACGATAATTCAATAAGGGAATAGAACATTTTAGGTGATGTTACAATCATCATTTATCCCAATATAATCAGAACAGAGAGGGAAAAGTTGAAGTATACAACTGCTGAAAGGATTCCCTCAATGTTGCAAAACTGAACTACCAATAAGCACCAGATTTAGTGCATTTTTTATTTCATAAGAACCATACGCACTTCACTTACGAAATTTAGTAAAAGTGAAAAGTCACTCTAATTCTTAAAGAGTCGCAAAACTAAGAGATATGTACGTAACACGTCCACTCGTCTTCTATAAATGATAAACCCAACAAATACATGAAATCTTTTAATTATGGTACGATTAATTACTCTAAAGATTATTGTCAAATCATTGTGTTACTCATAAAATATCTTAAAATTACGTTATAGCATGCTATGGCGATTTAATATTTTATAACGAACTCGGAGATTTAAAACACTGGTATGATATCTTAAGGAATAAAGCATTTAAAATGTTGTATAAACATAAACATTAAAATTCTACAATTATTCCTAAATTTTCTATTAACAACATATATTATTTATGTAGATAAACATTTAACGGAAAGAAAATAAAATATATTGCAGAAACAATGTACATCTCAGGCCACACACTCCAGTTGTCTTCCCGTTCCAAAAGTCAGTGTTAAGTGCCACTTCTACATTAAGAAACCGTTATTATAGCATAGTTACAAGCCATTAGGTAGAAACAAAAGTGTTAGTCAATGTGAATTACCATTTTTATATTAAGAAACCGTTATTATAGCATAGTTACAAGCCATTAGGTACAAACAAAAGTGTTAGTCAATGTGAATTACCATTTTTATATTAAGAAACCGTTATTATAGCATAGTTAAAAGACATTAGGAAGAAACAAAAGTGTTTACCTGAAAACGAAATAAGAACGAGATAAGCATGTTTATTTAATCAGTAGTGTGCGTGAGATACATATATATTCCTTTATTACTATCTAATATATTCAGGATAAAGTATATCTAACTATATTGATAAAACAAATATATATTTTCGGTACGTCAACAGTTTTAATAAACAAGCAGATTAATCTATCTCTTATGTGATTATATAAATACCAAATGTGTGGCTGTAATGCTACCGCACAGTAAGTAAAAACTGGCATGAAAAATCTATTATTATGATTTATTCTTACGTCAGATATAACTTTTTATTTAAAACTTTAACGCTAGATGTCGATTTATCCTAATTTTTGTCATAGCCCTTTGATTTTTTAAACAGTTCAATTACACAAATATTCAACCAAATATATTTAAATTTCAACCAAACACGTTCAATATCTGCTGATGAATACTTATACATATTTGTAAACTGAATACTTGTATGAGAACGGTACTGTTGATATTAGTATATTAAAGGTTTGTTTGTAGCTAAGCACAAAGCTACACAATGGGATATCTGTGCTCTGCTCACCACGGGTATCGAAACCCGGTTTTTAGCGTTGTAGGTCCGAAGACATATCGCTGTGCCACTGGGGGCGTATACTAAAGGAACTTTCTCCGTTCAACGCCCGTTTTTAAATACTATCTATGCATATCTACTATTCAATACTATGAAGTAAAATATTTTCTTTATATATAAACTATAAGAAACTTGAGCCATTTGTCGAATGTTATTTGAAAACAACGTTTCGATCTGTTACAGCACACCCTTCCGACAACGCCAGCAAGTGCAAACTTTTGTCTTTAATTAAGTAATCTCCAAAATTGATATGCTGGACATAAATCTTCAATTTAAAAAAAAAAGGTTTTTGTTTTCCAATAAGGTTAGTATTTTCTAAATAAAAATTAGACAGGCAAGTCAAACTATTAATTAAATTAAATGTCCTACTGAATTGCCCCTCCGTGGCTCAGCAGTAAGTCTAAAAGCTTATAACGCTAAAAATCGGGTTTCGATACCCACAATGAGCATAGCACACACAATCAATTTTGTAGCTTTGTACTTCACGAAGAACAAAGGAATCCTACTTAATCACAGTTTAAACCAATATTAAAAAGATTCATTACATATTAAACATAGCCTTAAATCATCTATTTTTATTCTTAATATACTGGTAATCTGTACTTAGAATACGTAATTGTATAATACATTTAGTTGTTTGGGTAATTTCTTGCCAGATGGAATATTCCAACCTCATTTTTAGACATATTGCTAGACGACGTTGGTTAAAAACAGAATCACTAAGCATAAGATGCATTCATGTGTTTAGGAATATTTAACTTAAAGTGCTCGTAAACTAGAACGGTAACCACACATTTACTTAAATACACACACACACGCATATATATATGTAATGTATCTTATATCAATAATAATTTGTGGTAAACTACATTTGATATATTTGTCGTAGGAGAAGTAGCACTATGAATTTATCCTGTTTCGGTTAGAAATGTTACTTGTGCTGAATTAATACACAAAACCGAAAGCAATTAAACTAACTGAACCACAATCGGGAAATCTGTAGTCTACCTTTAGTGCCAGAGATAATATCTGTAAACCAAAAAATTTTAAAAGCACGTCCATGGAATCGATAAAAATGGAAAAACATGAAATTAAATCATATTTAATTTGCACACCTATGTGGTGTGTGGTATGTTATAATAATTAATATTTTAGAGTTTTCGTCTGAATCACAAATATATATATATAACAAATCAAAAATATAACATCCAATCCGAAATATTTCAAAATAAATGTATCAGGCAGCCGGTAGCACTGTTTATGTTGGGATGGCTCTTATTGTTAATCGAAATGGTATTTTAAATATCTCCTCAATAGGTTATCAGAACTTTACAATATTATACAGTGCTTCCTTTTATAATAATATCTATGTAATGACTGAGTCAC